AAAAAAAAAAAAAAAAAAGCCAAATATATGAGACTCCATAAGCTAAAGTGTCCACCTGAGGGAACATAAACAAAATCATGCGCTTAAAATCAATCACAGTGTGACACTTTTCACATTAAATATATTTAAATGATCCATTGTCGATATACATTTAATTAAGAAGTTCAGAGCTCCTCATCAAAAGCTCATTATTTTGAATGACAAAAGACAGGATCAGTCATTCACACACACACACACACACACACGCACACACCTGTAATTGCCACTAATATTAACACTCGGCTCAATTTTAATTGTATTAGAAGAGACAGCATGTGCATGGAGCTGTTTGCTTCTCGTTTCCATGTTAATGAGCTGATGACTGCAATTAAACTGTGATCCTGTTAGACTTCGATTCCAAGGGAGGAGACAGGAGGAGGAGAAAGTGAGGGAGGAGGTGGTGATTAAGACAGGAATGAAGAGAGGAAATAAAGAGGAAAGAAAAGGCCAAAGCTGGATTTTTATCTGCATTTTTTTTAACCTTTTGCCTTAAGATCACAGAGCTTTTTTGCCATCACCACAATGGTGTTTGAAAAAGAAACATGACAAGTCATCACATCCTGCCCTATCATTCTGTTTGACTCTAAAGGGCCCAAAATCTACAAAAACAAACATTTTTCATTAAATAAAACAAACAACAGAATCCATAAACTTCTCAGGAAACTCACAGAAGGCTCATTTTCCCATGGATCAAGTGAAGCAACCCAGTTCTCATTCCACAGGCTGCAGGTTTCAGGGACGAAAGCACCGACTTCACTTTTCAGACCCAGAGTTAAGCCCATTTCTTTTCATGTCTAAACTCACGTCACATCATGTCTATCATTTACCTTTGTAACCATAGCATTGCATCAAATCTTTCTTTAAAGATACATAAAGAAACAGAAAACATTTGATTCCTCACCAAATCTTCCTCCTGTTTACTTGCGTTTAGAGTTAACTCACTGTTATAATCATGTCGTGTTTAATTTTCTCTCCACATTTGAAAATAAACTACAGGAAAGTGACTTTAAACAGACACAGACTTCAAACTTTGCTTTTTCCTCTCGGCAATAAGCCACGTTTTTCTTTCGAGATTTGCCATTTTTCTTGTGAATATGAAATTTTTCCATAGAAATTTGGCAGTGTCACTTTCGTAAGTATGACACTTATTTCTTTTATAATTTGCCAATTTTGTCTCCGTTTTCCCTTTCCCCTCGACAATGTACCACTATCGCGTAAATTTGCTCATGTGTTTTACAAAAATTTGCCTTGGTTTTGTCAATTTGACATTTGTTCCCCAGGGGGTCTGATATTATTTGCCTTCTTTTTCCTTAAAAACTTATCAGTTGTCGTTTTATTCCTTTGTGAATTTAAAACTTAACTATTGAAAATTATGAGTTTTTACTTAAAAATGTGAAATTTAACTACATTGAAATTGAAGTTTAGCATGAAGTTAAGCATTTGGTGCTGCAGGGGCCAATATTTTTAAAATTATGTTAAAACATATATATCATTTCTCCTAAACAGTTAAATCTCTGTGAGCTTACCAAGTTTAACACTTCGTAGCACAAGCTATGAATCAGCGCACAGAGAAGTGACGATGAACTGATTCTTTTATGTGATAACTTGTTTTGTATCTGGATCACTGAATACTGATTGACTTTGTGTAAAATTCTGGTATTATTTTCATATTTGTACCTTCACTGATCACTGGTCATTTTGTTGCACTTAAGTACTTTTTTTTTTCTTTTGCCTGAAGCTCTTTGTATTGAGCTGGATGTGACTGTGTGGGCGAGAACAATAATTAGCGGTAAAGACACGTCCTGACTGACCGAGAGACACAATACACCTGCAGCTGGGACACACACACACACACACACACACACACACAGCGACATCACAGCTTTGACAGGCTGGTCCTCCCTGAGGGCTGACGTGTTGTATGTCTTTGTGTGCGTTTGAAAAGTGGTGCTGAAAACAGTGATGTGCTCATAAATTTAGTGTATTCTTCAAACATGTATAACTGATCAAATCTGGGCTCATTTTGATATTTTTACTTGTCCGTTTATTTTTTTTCTTATCATTTACATTTACATGAAAAAAAATGATGTGAAGTAGATAAATATCGGCACTATTATCGGTCTTTTAGACAGTTTCCTGGTACGCTGGTGCATGCACAGAAAAACATACATTTGAGGACGTTTATGAAGTATTTTATTCAAAGAATGGCTAGACTCCTGTTTGGATCATTTTAATTCTGGTTTCTGGCTTCAGACTAAGAAGTTAGTTCTTATCTTCATAGATGTCTTTGATTTTTCCTGATACTGGAGCCTCATCCCTGTGTCTGTGTGAGGGAGGCTCCATTTTGGTGGAGTAACACTGCCATCTAAAGGCAGTCTGCAGCACTGCATCACTATTCATCTCTACAGTGGAGTGCGGTCTGTAATATTTAAGTTTGAGAATGAAGAAACATTTATGAACACATAAAAATTCCGACATGAAGCAGGCCGTTGTGATGTGAGGAAACATGGCTTCAGAACTAGGTGAGAGAGTCAGAATTGAAATTGTTCTCCTGATCAAAGAGCAGCTTTCTTAGAGTCAAACACGACTGGACTACAAAACAGATCCACCAGGAGGACGTGGAGTTAAAGACAGAGTGACAGGAGCGAGAGAGAAAGGCGGATCAGGCATGAGATCATTTAAGTAAATGAGGAGAGATACAGTTAGCTTGAATTTGTGCAGAAAACAAAAAGAGAAGACAGAAGAATGGGCAGGAGGATAATGCGGAGAAGGACAAGGACAGAGAGGAAAACGAGGATGAAGAGGAGGTGAAGAATAAGGTGGAGAAGAAGAAGTTGGTAGAGGAGGGGAAGGTGGCAGAGAATCAGGTGGAAAAGGAGAAGAAGTTGAGGAGGAAAAGGAGAACAGGACAGTAGAGGGCAGAGGAAGAGAAGTAGAAAGTGGAAGAAGATGGAAGGAGGAGGATATGAAGGCAGCAGAGGAGAGGAAGGAAAAAGGAGGAGGGTGTGAATAAGAAGAGGGTGGTCAAGGGAGACACGCAGTAGGAAGAAAGTTGAGAAGGAAAAGAAGAGGAAGGAGGAAGACGACAGTCAACGCTGTCATTAAATTCAGGTGCAGCAGGAGTGGGAGGAGTCACAGAGGAACTGAGGCACCTGACTCAGAGTTCCGGTTTCCCTGAGCTCAGAATTAACAAACTCAGAGTTCCAGTAAACTGACTTCCTGGATCCTGGCAAAGCTTCAGGCTCAGGTTTGAAGACCTAAAACATCATTCTTGCAAGCTCCAAAGTCTGGATACAGTCGTTTTTCCTCATGAACACAAACATTCACAGATCAGCACATTCAGCAGAATAGCTTCTAAACAAACCGACATCAACTGTACACACACACACACACGTCAGCTGGGTGAAATGTTTGGGTTGATAGTCTGACATTTCATGGTCATTATCCACCATTACACCCAGCAGGGGAGGACACATACACACGGTGGGGGGAGTCGGTGGTGTTGAGCCATAATTTCAGCAGGCATGAGGGGGAAATGACGGCGGGGGTGGGAGGCAGGAAAGTGAAGCACAGTGATGCATTTCTGACATAAAAGGAGAAGAAAGATTACAGCTGTTGTTTGTTGGCCTTTTCACAGAAGAGCTGTGATTATGGGCAGTTATGACCGGGGGGAGGGGGGGTTTCTCCACAGATGACCCAGAGGAGAGAGAAAACAACACAAAGGTTATCATGTGGAAGGAAACAGGAGGGAGGGAGGAAAATTAGAAAGAAAGAACGACCCCTTAGAGCAGAGGAGACCAGAGGTAAATGAGTTCTGGGTGAACCTGCAGAAGTCAAACTGCACCGGCAACTAAACTAAACGCTGTTCAAGCACTAAATAATTCACAGCGCTTGTTTTCGGTGCTGGGCTGCACATTTGGGCGGGGTTACCGCTGTCAGGACAGATCAGATCATCACGTCTGACAAGTGGTCCCCTCACAGGTGAAGCTCAAAGAAGCTGAAAGCTACCGAATACAGCAGAGAAAGGGTCACTCAGGTGTGCCGTGAGCTAAAATATAATTCTTCATTACGTATGATTGGTGTTTAAAGCTTCTTTTCATTATTTCCAGTACTATTCAAAAGGTAGAAATTCATAATTACAATACCTTAAACACAAAATTTAAGACATTTTATGGTAGAGTGACACAATAAAACATTTAACTCAGTTTTCCTCTATGTTAGTTTCATCTCCACAACAGTCCCAGGTTCTCTTGTGGTCCTGACTGTGGGACTGACTCACTTTTGGAGTGAGCCTCTAGTGGATATTAGAGAAACTACAGTTTTTGGTACTTGAGCTACTTTTTGCAAATTGTGCACAGTGTGCATTTTATTTTCATTTTTATTATAATTTATAAAAATGGGTGTATCTCAAAAACAAAGTTATGTGCACACTCAAAATAATGTTTTGTGGTTTGAAAGGATTTTATGCAACTTTTTTCCTTTTACAATTTTTGTATCTATGTTCTGGGTAGTTTATTGCATTTACTTAGTTACTATAAACTTACTACACACGCATTTTCAAAACTGGGGATGTATTGATGCACAGGAAGTTGGGAAAAAAGCACAAAGGCACTACAGCATGTAAAAATGTAAAAACAAGCTCTGGAGGGTAATTTTAAAGTAAAAAAAATAAATAATTAGGACCCACTTTAAGATTTGAGAGAGAGAAAAAAAGGGCTACTCTAGTATTTTGACTTGTGCTGGTACAGGTTTAAATGTTGAAAAGCTAGACTCCAGAAAGTCTCAAAAGAAACGCTGGACTCACTCTTTTTCACCATTATGACATTTAATACCATCGTTCCCTGGAGAAGTCACTGTACGGTTGACCTTTGGGCCGTCTCCAGCAGAGTTTTAATTGGTCTGACTTGAGCCAGCAGCTTTGTGACTGAGATGACGTGTGTGTGTGTGTATGTGTGCGTGCGTGCGTGCGTGTGTGTGTGTGCGTGTGCGTTGAATGATGCAAAGAGAAAATCATTATATGAGGAGCATAAAGAGACATCTGAACTTTGTAGAAATGAAAAAATTAACATTTGACAAACCTCAGCTTCAGTCTAAGAAGATTTAGAAAACAAATCTTTGTTTTGAGCAAAAAATAAATAAATAAATAAAAGTAGGATCAGGATTTACCACAAAGTGTTGAAAAGATTCCCAATCTGAATCAGATTCCTGAAAGTGACGTCAATCCGGAACCTCTATTATTTTAATGATCACCAGGAAGGCGACTCCTTCGACTTCTATGGTCTTCTGTGACCTCTATGAACTTAATGGGCTCAGTCAGTAGTTTCAGGTCATAAACAGAACATCAAGTCATTTTGGTGGATCTCAGGCTTGTCTGCTGTCCCCTGTTTCTAAGGTTATAATAGGTATCGCGCTGCAACAGTTTATATTTATATCTGCAGTTGTACTTGCAGGTGCTTTAAAAATATACTCACTACTCTTTATACTGTTGTATATGGGTTTTTGAGGACTCTCTTTAAAAAGAGATGTTAATCTCAATGACATATTAAAGTAAACAGATTTAACAATAAATGTATAATGAAAACTATAAGGAGGACCAGAGACGTGTACTTGCAAACTTGTGTGATCTGTTGCTCAGTGATCTGTCTTAAAAAGCAGCTTAAAACTTGTCATTTTAATGATATTTGTTTTGACATTTTTGCTGTATTGTCAAAATACAATTTTGCTTGCTTACCTCTTTACTGATCTAACATATTGAAATGCCTAGCATGTTAATTCAGCTGACAAATGCAATCCAGACCATTTTTCCCCACAGGTGGCTGAGAGTCAGGGTCTTTCCTTTGAATTTAATAAACACCAATAGCCTCACAGTGTGCAGAAAAAACAAGCGTTGCCTGCATTTGGATTGCTCAGGATCTGATGGTAAACAAATATTCCTGTATACATGCTACAGGTCAACCATTATATGCACAATTCTTTGTTTTGTTTTGTGCCTTTTTCTGTTTAACTTATTTCTTCCAGTGTGTTTGTGACTTTTAGTGGTCGTCCTCACCTTGTCAGCGTTGTCTGCAGCCAGCAGGTTGGTGGCAAGCGTCTGCAGTTTGTGTTGAGCCATGTTCTTCAGTGCGGCCAGGCTGCGGCGGGTCATCGCCTGTTTCAGGTTCACCGCCGAGTGGCTCAGAGCATCCACAGTAGCTGGAGCCAGCTCATCACAGGCATTCAGGATCTCTACTGCAGTTATTCCCATCACACAGCGGTCCAACGCTCCTGGAACCAAACCAGTAAACAAATCTGCCTCAGCCTCAGAAGACACAAGCTACACACAAACCAACAGTCTGGTATTTTTTCATATTTTCTGTAGTCATATCTTTACCCCCTGGTCCACCATGGCCCACCTGCAGGTGTACACCTGTGCACAGTAAACCTGACATATATAGATTCACTGCTAATTTCTAATACATAAGTGCCTTGTTTTTTCTCATTGTGCCCATTCATTTCTCAATTAGACCAGCTAAAGATTTTGCATGGAAAGAAACTGCTAATTGGATGGTTTAAATTCCTTGTAGCTGCAGGTCTTTAGCACTCACTGTTTTAGTTGACTGATGGTACTCTATTAAATCCATCCATCCATTCTCTGTCCCTTATCCTTGTCAGGGTCACAGGGGGGCTGGAGCCCATCCCAGCTGTCTAGGGCGAGAGGCAGGGTAAACCTATGGGCAATTTGGAGTTACCAATTAACCTATCCCCACTAACTGCATGTCTTTGAACTGTGGGAGGAAGCTGGAGTACCTGGAGAGAACCCACACAAACACGAGGAGAACATGCAAACTCCACACAGAAGGACCCCAACCTGACAGTGGACCTTCTTGCTGTGCAGCAACAGTGCTAACCACCGTGCTGCCCCTCTATTAAATCCATAGGGTAGATATAGATAGCTCTATACCTCAAGCTCTCAATTGCAGTACAGTCCTCAAAGGTTATTAGGTTAATTTGGTATTAACATTCAGTTTAAACAACACAAGGATAATACAAAGCAATAAAAAATGAAACACTGAAATCATATGCAGTTTTAAAAAGAAAATTCTTGCAGTGTATTACAAGCCCTTTATTAAAAAATCAATTTTACATTTAACTAAATTTCGAATTTTTAAATGACAAACGTGTCATAGTAGATCCATAAGTAAACAAAGGAGTTGTGTTTTAAGCAGACAGAAATAAAATAAAAAATTTACATGTAAAACAGTAAGTAAACCTAAAATATCTCAAGAGACGTTTCAAGAGAAAAACATTCAATAGAAGGAGCCAGAGTTTTGTAAAACAATTTTCATCCTGCACTGATCTTTTTATCAGTAAATTGGAAACGGTAAAAATGTCCAGTGTAATTTCCTTCAAAACAAGATTGTATTAAAAGTATGTTAAAAAAAATGCCTGTCATCTGTTGACCACCCAATCAATTAATTGAACCACTTGCACTGTAAAAGGTAATTTCATCTGAATAAACAGAAAATACGCTTTACACTGGATAAAACTAAAGCAATCCTACACAGGTGGGTCTTAAGCTTCTTTTAAAAAAAGAGAGTTCTGCAAATTGGACGCAGCTACAGCCAACATTTCCCTGAGCTCAGAGACCCAGGAGCTACATATGGATGAAGCAGTTCGTTAATACCAAGTAGAAATTTGACCATGAAGAGCTCCAATAGTGATCTCTGAAATCTTCAACTCAACCCTAAACTTTAAGGATTTCCAACACACTTTGTTTGTGGGAAGCTCAATGGTTTTGATTCAACTTTGACAGAACAGTAGGTGTCGTGTTGTGTTGTGTTCGCAGGGCCTCAGAACTGCACTGAGCTCTGACCTCGACCCTGTACGGCATCGTCAGGATGAACTGACACATCGATGGTTTTATCTCAGCCTCTCTCTCTCACGCTCTCTCTTCATTCTCATCACACAGACTCGCCTTCTGTTTCCATCAGTCTCCCTCCTCTTGCCCTTGCACTCTCCTTTTATTTATATCAATCTTCCAATCTCTCTCACACCATCTCAGACTCACAATCATTATCTATAGTCTCTTGAATATGATTCAGGTCACAGACGATCTTCTCCAGTGTAACAATTCTCCACCTTTACAGAAAGAGACGGGCTTTATAGAGACATCATTAGCTGCAGACAGAGCTGACATCAGTATTGGCTCTGGTATTGAGTGAGAGGAGAAGTGGCACCATTATACCTGAGTGTGTATAGGTGTGTGTGTGAGTGATGAAGGCCCATGAGCCATGGCCCCATTACATGTCTAACGCCTGAGTACACACACACCTTCCTTAATTTCACACTTAGATACCCTGCAATTTCCCAGCACTACAGCTCATTCAGGTCACACACACACACACACACACACCCCTACACCTGGTCTGTTCCAGTACCCAGTCATCATTCAAGTTAATGCTACCTCTATGCTGTGCCACATGGTGCAGACTGCACAGGAGCTAGCAGGTACAGAGGAACATGTTCACTTCGTTTCTTCATGTCAGGATGATAAGATGGATATTGTTAAGCACAGAGCTCAAATTAGGATAACTGGGAAAACAAAAAAAAAACAAAGGATGTAGCTGCCATGTTGACTTTTTGGAGCTATTGTTGGACGAGAGCCAAGTTATTGTTCAGCCAACACAAGGGAGCCTGTTCATCAGGCACAAATATGAGTTTTGGGGGATTATTAGGTGGCTGTAGTTCAGGAGGCAGACCAGCTATCCACTAGTCAGAAGGTTGGTTGTGTTTGACTCTTTAGTCTGCATGGTAAAGTATCCCTATCCAATATACTGAGCCCCAAGCTGCTATCTGATACGTTTATTGGAATATGGATGTGAATCTTAGGAAAAGTGCTTGTATTAATTATTTGATCAGTGTATGAAGACTAACTCTTTTGAAGCCAGTGTCTAGTGGTCATTGGGTGAACTGCAGAGAGCACGCCCACGCGCCCACGCCCCCCCCCCGCCGCCCTTAATGCATGCTTAGCATTAAGACTAGAAGTAGGAGGAAACTGCAAACCTGAACCTTTCAGCCTTGGTAGCAGCTCGCCAAGGTTTTACTTTGAGCTAACAAACAGGCTAATATAGATTATTATGATCGGTATCTTAACAGTCATAAGGTTTCCATGTTCTAGTACAGTGAAAACACCTCCTTCCTGGTCCTCTGGTTCTTACCTGTGTCCATCTGCCAGACGTACACAGAGCCGTCAGAGCAGCCCACCACCAGGTAGTCGTCTGCCGGGCGCCACTTGATGACTTGGATGGGGAAAAGGTGCCGCGACGCGAGCATGATGCACTTCCTCTCCCGGAGACTGAGCAGGCCGACAGAGTGGTCGCTGGCCACCGAGCAGACGCAGTGCTGCACCCGAGTCTGCAGAGGAAACACAGCAGGAAGGTGAGGCAGAGAATCTGAAGAAGCGCTTGCAGGTCACCGAGAGGTTAGCAGACAATAAGTCAGAGTAGAAACTCAATACGGCCTCTGAATCGTTTAACATTATTTTATTTTCAAGGATTTCGAAGCATTTAAAACCACTCAAGATGTCAGATTTGATTGAATTTAAATGGAATGACCCTTTTTAGTCATTAGTGACTGCACTGCTGCAAAGGTCTTCTGATCTCTGGAGTCAGATATCACTGGTTAAAAAAAAGATATCTGCTCTCTATGACATCAAGTAGAGCCAAGAGTAGAAACAAACTATGTGAAACTGATTAGAGCATCCTGAGCGTCCGCCTCACAGTTTACTTTAATATGAAGAACCAAATTAGAACAGGACATATGTGACAGGAAATGAGCAACAGTTACAATAGGTACCCTTTACTATTAAAAGAATGAGAAGAAGCCCATCTGATGTCTTCATTAAAGCTTGTGTGTGTAACAGCTCAGCCATTGTACTCAACAGCATTACTGTGATTTCCATGGCAGCAAAACATCTCTAACCATTTATTTTAATGTCATGTAAACAATACGAAGTCCTCTCTGTGTAGTTTCAGGTGGGCTTCTGAAACCACAACAGCACAAAGGTCTCAACTTATTTCCACAGTAACGATGACGACTGTAACCTCGTAACATTTAAATCTAATGTCAAACAATGTTGCAGAGACGACAGAACAAAGCCTGAACGCAGACATAGACCCATGCGGTGGCGGTCTTACGCTGCAGTTTTCTGGCGGAACGATGAGCTGCGTGATCTCCCCTCCGTGGACGCAGAAGATGTGCTTCATCTCCCCGGTGAAAATGTCCCAGACAATGACGGAGAAGTCCACTCCCCCAGACACCAGCGAGCGCTGGTCGTAGCGTGGCGAGACCTGGTATGGGTACAGGACGCAGGTCACCTTGTTGCGGTGGCCTCGTAGGGTGCGATGAGGCGGCCAGCCTGCAGAACAGACCGACGCAAAGGTCAAAGGTTTTTAAAGTCAACTAAAACTAGAAATGGGCATGAAAATGAATCTTAACTGATGTAAAAGGAGTCAAATTGAAACAAAACTTCCCTGAATTTGTTAGTGTGTCTGTATAGTTTGTTTCTCTCACCTCTCCTGAGCATGTGCTCGCCCTGCAGCAGCTGGACGATGGCCGTCTGAGTGGCGGGAACGAGGATGATGCTGCCGTCTTCTCTCCCGCACACCAGGCGCCCTTGAGAGGGGATGTAGACGCTGGCCGTCACCTGAGGTGAAGCACACACACACTCTCTTAGAGTTTCCCCACTGTGTAGACCCCATCGCACACGTGCTCACAAAAGAGGTTATTTTGGGGTCGTGTTGATGGACATAATAAAAGGACGTCACACACACAAACACACACGTTTGTTTTCATTTTTGAAAGTTTTCAACTCTGTGAGAATATTTTGAATCTTTAAAACAACTTCTTTTATAATTTAATGAGAACATTTCTGTGTTCAGACCTTAATGGGTTCGTCTTTGCCTGGCAGGACGCTGAGCTGGTCGATGATCCCCGAGGACACTGGGGTCAGCTTATCAAACGCCTCCTGCAGGCTGATGGTGAATGACACCTGCAGCTCTGCAGTGATACAAACAGACAAAGGACTCGTTTAGAGATCAGCCTTCTGAAGGACTTGAGGATGAAGAGGAAGCTCTCCAGAAAGTTGAACAATGCAATCAGGCATCTTGTAAAGGGGACCTATGCTGCTTTTCTTTTTTCTCTTCCACATTTTTCTTAAGAAAAGAAACTCTATGAATCAAGTTTTTCTGATTGTTTGTATTTTTGGACCAACAAACTAAAAACAACCTCCGTTAGTACCAACTCGTTAACAATGGGCTGCTTTAAAGCTCAAAACAAAAGAGATCATTGTAACGTCATGCTGAGCTTTGAAGTTCAAGAAAAACAGCAAAGTTTTATGAAAAGACTTTTACCGGAGAAACCTCGCCATCTTCCCCTCTTCCTTACCTGTGGAGGTGGACTGTGGCTGCAGAGGCGAGGTGTCCGGGATGCTCCACAGGGTCATTCTGCCCGCCGAGTCACCCTGGATCAGCAGCTTATGGAAGGGCTCCCTCCGGCTGAAGAAGAAGCGGGTCACAGGAGGGCAGATGAGGAGCTGGAGGAAGGCAGGAAAAAATACATGTCAACACCAACAAGATGTGACGCCTCAAAGCTCCCCGGTGACAGCTGGAAAACATCTTTAAAGGCTCTCCAATTGACCAGAACACTTCCACCAATACTGGAATATGCTGAACTTGTAAGCTGAGCTTAAATTTAAGAGCCAAGTGAAGCTGAAATGGTTGGTTTTGCTCTCAGGTTGTCTTCAAACAACAACACACAGCAAACTGCAGAAAAGCAGAACCACACATCTCTGATCTACAAGCGCTCCAACCACTGTTTTTTTGTTTTGTAACTCTGGGATGGAATAAGCCGAACTCATGGATGGCTGTCTCAGCGCCATCTCTTGGTTATATGAGAGCCTGATACGAGGCTCTGAAGTAAAAATTTGTAGAGCAGAGTCAAAGATGACATGAGTTTGGTTGAGTATCACCAAAAATCTGAGCAGATTCTGTTCCTTGGCTCAATAATTCTGGACATCAGGATAAAACTGACCTCTCCGGGAGAGAATAAACACAACTGGAATCACACTTTAGCATTTCATACTATTTAAAAAAAAAAATAAATCCAAAGATTACTGAAAATGGTGGAGATGGGAGGAGGGCAGCAGAGCGTTTACTGCCTAAAAAACACAAGCAATCCACCGCTAACCAAAACTGGGCTGACTTACATCTATTATCAATACATGAAGTAATAAAGAGTGAAGACTGATTAATGTGACGAGCAGTGCGAGAACAAGTCTCAAAGTGCAGTTTGGGCTGCTGGCAGGCGTGTGGGGGGGGTTGCGATGATGAAAGCCGGTGAACCTGCGGGCGTAGCGTCACTGCGTAATGGCTGAGGGGGTGAAGAACGATCGGTTAGTTCAGCTCATCTGAGCGCTGTGGACGAGCAGTGAGGGTATGCAAAGTGCCACCAAATATCACACAAACACACGCAAACCAAACCACATCTTTCACTAAAGATGCAAACAATTAAACAGCAAGGAGAGTTTAAGTTTTCAGCAAAAACCACCAGAGAGGAAGCAAGAAAAACAGAGACCGGACACCCACCCACTGCACCTCATTCATCTGGATAACTAGAAACACAATATTCAGAGTTCTGTGACACGTAACCTGAATTTCTTTTAACCTATCTTAATATTTAATGCAAAAAGAAAAAAAGTGAGCAAAACTGTACAGAATTAATGTCACTACTAAAAAAATTAATTTGTAAATTCTGAAGTTACGAGTTACTCTTCTCTTAGTAAGTAAAACTGAACACTTCCTGTACATAGTTCAAATTAAAGGCCAACCAGAAAAGAGAATTTTAGACCAAGGATGATGGAACAAAAAAGCTTTGGAAATTTGGCCATAAAAATCAAAAATCTGATTTTAGTTTAGAAAATCTCTCATTCTAGATCAACTTCATTCTTTCAGAATGACACTTTTCATTGCGGCTGACCTGACAAATGTCAAACTGGGTTTACCTGAGCAACACAATGTTATTTACAGTAAATAACTTATTATTATATCACATTAAATATTGTATCACACCAGATGAATATAAAATTACATTTTATATTTGGATTATTTATTTAGCTGGTGGTGATCATATGAAGTTGGCCCTAGCGCTGGAGCTTACGCTGGCTTTGGTTATGTTTGCGAGTTCTGTGCACCATATTACAATTATGTGTCACATTTTTTAAAAAGCATTATTGTAAAAGTACCAAAAAAAATTGGTATTCACTTCAATGAAATGTTTTGCATTTGATGTGGACCATGGCCATCTTTTCCATTATGCCAAGATAATAACCACATTTTTGCTGTGTTATTGAAAATGTAGACATATAAAAGAAAACAAAGACATTTGTCAAATAAAGGACATTGGTAATTATAGCAACCACTCTGTAGCTTCCCTAACAGGGGAAAAAAAAAGCTGTTCCCATCAAAGCCAAATACCTTTTTTTATTATTTATCAACACCTCACAAATAACGTAGAGTTTTTGGCTGTTTGACTGTGGCTGACCCGTTGTGCGCCTTTGGTTTGTTATGACCTCCGGGACTCAGCGGGTCATTATTTGCTTAGAAAGCAGCTTGGGGGACTTTGCATGCATCTTCATCAGCATGAAGACAGATGAGGAGGGTGATGGTGCTTTTGGAGGACGAGTTTTGCTTTAGTGGGAGGAGAGCGTGAAACCAGGTGAACCAGAGTGAGTTCAGTCCATCAGTTGGTTAGGCAGGAAGGAAAACAAAGAGCGGAGCAAACAAAAACAGGCAGTTCACTCAAATAGTCATCAACTCAGCAGCTCACTCTCAAAACAACCAATTACCTCTTCCAAGCAAAACAGCAGCCGTCATTGGTTTGTTTTCCTAGCAAACTTACAGATATTACCATTTCTAGTATTTTCTATTATGATGGCGTTCCTCAAGGACTCATTCTTGGACCACTGCCATTTTATGTACATCCTAAGCCACAGCTTCGCTGACATCAGGAATTAGTCTACGCTTTCAAATATATAAAATTCCGTATATTCTTCTGATAAACAAAGTCCTGAATGATCAGGTCCCATTACATCTTACAGGCCTCGTATAGACCCACAGTATCCCAACACTCTCAGTCACTCTCGTACTGCAGATTTAAAAGTGTTTCCAAGATTTTCCCAAAGTAAAATGGCACATCAGGATCATCTGTTTTTTTGGAAACATCTGCCCACCACGCACCACATCACTATGTCAACAAGCCAAACTTCACTAACCAATCAAAAGCATTTGTCTTAGTGGTGCCTAAGTGTTTGCTTGCTTTTAAGAACTGAAGGCACATTTGAACCCGGAAATGGCTACACCAATCGGAGACCTGCACCATGATCCTGGTCCGACTGGAGATCTCTTCTTGTTAAAAAGCAGTTCCTCCTCTCCACTGTTGCCAAGTGTTTGGTCATAGCGGATGTTCTGATTGTTAAGGTTTTCCCTCTAATAGTGTTGGGTCTTTACCTAGTGTATAAAGGACTTTTGCACCCCCTGATGAGATGGGATGGTGTGTTTTTTACGGCTGAAAAGAGTGAGCTGAAGAATGTGAGCCACTGAGCTGACATCAACATTTTCACTGCTGTTCTCACAGTTCGCTCTTCTCACCTGGTTGTCACTTTCTGGATGAGCTGCAAAGTCCCAAAGTCAGTTTGTAAATGCTCCAAGCATTTCAAAATAATATATTTTTGACCCCACCTGGACCCTAAGAACCCTAAGAATAATTTATATCAAAAATTAGCTCGAAAGAAAGATTAATCGAGCATTTTTCAGCTCTGGCTTCTCCAAAGTAAGGAATACAATTCTAAAAACTCTTATTCTGCCTCTTGTAGCTTTTGCAGCTTAGCCATGACAGTGAAACCTTCTTCTTCCTGCCTTCGCTTTCACCATGTATTTTTCTTGGGCTTACAGGTGCCTCTAGAGGCCGGTGGTGGAATAACGGCTCTGGGGTGTAGAGCTCCAAGTCGTACCCGCTGGGAGGGAAGCACTTCACCTCCAAAACCATCTCTTCCTCCTCACCTCCCTCTCCTTCCCTCTGAGAGGAGCGAGGGAGGGAGCATAAGGTAGAAACAGCAAAAGCAACAAAAAAGGCACAGACAACACATTAATACCAACAAGACGACAAATTATAAATACACACATGAAAAAAAATGAGGAAATTAAACCCAAAAGGAACAGACAGAGTCAGGTTCATGCACACGGATCAAGATGAGATCTTTCATTTACATTTCCCGCAGCGGTTTCAAATTAAAAGCTTTAAAGGAATAAAGGGGAAACAGGGACGAGCTACCGCCTGGAACGACAGGTCATGTCTGCAACTGTTGTTGGACTTGACTGATCTCTGCTGGCTTTTTGTAATCTTGAATCCATGTGCATGAAGTGAACCTCACATAGAATAAATCATATAGACAAGACAAAGCAGCCTGAAGACTTCAAGAACCACATTTATCAATATTATTGCAGAGCAGACAGCTAGTACCACGTTAGGTTGGCATTACATAGCTAAAAGCAGGACAGGCCTGCTGGTTTGCTGCACAATAAGGTTACAGGTTTGCTGACTTACCGACTACTGAAAGTCAATGTGAATAACTGGAGTTCATAACTTTTAGTTGTGAAAATACATTTCCTGATGGAGGCTCAATGCTGAAATGCAGTAAAAAGTTTTTAGCTTAAACATGTCTTAATAACAATAATAATAATAATAATAATAATGTTGTTTTACCTGTGTTATTCTCAAACTGTGTTTAGTTTTTTAAACTAATCAAATGACGCCCCCGTCAAGTCTATTCTATTTATAGTCTATAAACCATTTAAAGAACAGAGGCTGCCTTATAAGTTCAAAGCATCGGTATCAGTAGCTATATCTGCAACACTGGCCCTGTATTTACTTGGTATCAAATCGTTAAATCTCCCGTCTTCCTCCCTGCGCATGCAATCTGAGGCGGATGGAGGACTCACCTGTTTGTCTGAGCGGTCAGCGATGCTGTACACCAGCGGAGGGATCGAACCTTCTTTGGTTTTCCCAACGTCACTGCGGAAATGCTCACTAGCAGGCAGGCAGCTAAGAAACACAAAGACATGTTTAGGTTAAATTGTCATGACGATGAACCTGTCTTTTTCCTGCAGTAATGACAGATGAGCGGCAGGCTTACCTGGCTGGCAGCTTGTAGATGTAGCTGCAGCCATCCTCGGTCCAGATGATGACTTTGTCCGCGGCGATGAACTCACCTCCCGTCCAGGACTGGTCGTTGTCGTTGGACACCGAGCAGAGCAGGGAGTAATCGCCCGCATCAAACACCTGAGACAGACAAAAATTCATTAACATAACCATCTGACCAGGCCAAGACTTCAGACTGCTGTGTGATGATATTGTAGAGAACCATCAGCACTCCGCTGTGGTAGTAGGGCTGGAAAATTGTCAAAATCCTCAGTGTATGTTTAGCTCAGTGGTTGAGCAGTTTTTAATACTCTGATTGGTGTTTCTCTTTACAGTGGTCCCTCGCTATAACCTTTCGCGGCCTTGCTATTTCGCGGATTTTATTATATATGGTTGTTTCTTTGTTTTTGTTTTCTTTCTTTTGGGGGG